TATATATATATATATATATATATATATATATATATATATATATATATATATATATTCTCTGAATATTCAGACGTTGTGAAAAGTGCGATAAAAGTATGGTGCCATCTCGAAAAATACCCGTGAACTAATTTTTCGCTCTACTTTATCATAGCTGTCGGAAAAAGCTAACCGCATGTAATCATAAACTTTCCTGTAAACTTTTCGTATCTTTTTTAGCATCGAAACTAAATTCTGAAAGTGTAGTAGTGATCTTTAAAATTTTCCTGATTGGAGCATCCACAGTTTCGGTATGTACAATCTGCAGAATGTTTATATTAAACAAATATTGCACTAACTGACAGCTCAAAATTTTAATTTAAACATATTTTTTTCGTTTTAGTCATATATAGAGCAATGCTCCATTTAATTTTTATATGCACATCTATCTATTTATTTATTTATTTATTTATTTATTTGACAATTTCCTTTATTTTCCTTTTCTTCTACGTTTTGTAATTTTATGAATACATACGAATAAACGTAATCGACCTCGAGACGTAATTTCATGCACCCATAAAACTCTCTTCACTCAGCCAGCAGTTTTATACTCGCTGCGTTCGTTCCGTATTTCGAAATTTACACTCTCTCACTTCCTCTGACTCGTTTTTCTATTTTTCGTACAAATGAGTACTGTAAAAATCGCTGTAAAATTCACAGTCATGTGCTCAAGAGGTGAAAAGAAGTCCAGTTCCACGACCATTTTACACAGTTTGATATGGTATTCTCTTTCTCTCTTTTTAAGCAAAATAATTCTATCGCTAAACCAACACTCAAGCCAACGCAGTAACCATAGGAGTGCAACTAACATACAGTTAATTGTAAATAAGTGCAGAGGATACACAACAACAATTCGATTAGGTCAAGTTAGGTTCTTCCTCTTTTAATTTACAAAAATTTATTATGTCAATTTTACTTTTTTCCTCGCGAATGGTATGTTCTCGTGATACAATAGTCTCGATACCCATACCAAAACTCCGAAGAGAGCGCACAAAGACAAAAACGACATTATCGTTAAGAACACGATGATATCTAAATCAAATTGCCGATACCACGTACTATCGGCTCCATCGAAACGCAGATGGGGCGCACCATTGTGACGCATTACGTACTCGATCCACCATATGACGTTCTCCAAGCTATCATAAGGCTTGTCCTTTGTGAGAGCACGTACCGCCAACATCTTATCTTTGTATCTACAAATAGAGTGCCAAATACACGTTAGTCGCGACAGCACAGCTTACATCATGATCGTGACTGTCCATATATACACGCAAGACGCAATTTAGAGGATGCTGCAGTCGATGAGACAAACCTCGAAAATATCGACAACGTAGAAACAACTGTCACCAACACAATCACATTATCCTTTTCATATTTCGTATATATATAGATCTTATGTAAATATATGTTACTTTGTATATAGAATATATATAGAAATCTTTCTGGAAACTTCTTCGAAACTTATTTTAAGCTTCTAAATTTATATATAAAAGCAATGTTCTTTGAAAATTTGAAAAAAACTCGAAAAAGATTGGAGAAAACTCAAAAAATGATGTAAAAAATTTTCCTTCTATAATATTTCTACTTCGGAATGACTCAAATTGTATTCTAAATATTTCTCATATCATAAAAAACAAGAGATGTTCTTCTTATGCTGAACCATCCTGTATAGGATGGGGAGTTCTTAGCGTCACAGATACTTCTAAACAACGTTATCACTTTTTCGAAATAGTTGAAAGTCATAATGCACGAATATTTAAAAATACATTATGCGTGGTCGAGGTTTTCGATTGATGCTAGTATGAAAAATTTTAAAGCTATTTTGATGCAGTGTATACAAGAAATGGATAGTATTAATATGATATGATTGTATTAATGATGATTAATACTACTGATAGATGCTTCTACGTTATCGATATTTTTTCGAATTTGCCGTCCACTTTAGCATCCTCTTAATACAGATTAATAACGTGTAAAGTAAGAGGGAAAGAAAGGGGCCTATCATTATATCACCTCTTATCACTAGTGACTTCTAGAATGGTGTCGCGCAATTCTGGCGTCGTAAGCTGTACTATATCCAAGTGTTTCGCGACTCCCAGCGAGACCATTTTCATAACTTGATACACTTGATCGAAGACAAATGGTATTCCTATGAGCGGCACGGCGTAGTGAACCGCTTCTTCGGTGCTCTGTAGCCCGCCTTGATAAATGAAGCCCTTGATGTTCGGATGAGCTAGGGAGATAAGAAAAGACGTGATTAATAACCTCAGTATTAATTATTATAAAATGTCGCGCACTGGCGCTTCGCGCACTTACCCAATACACCTTGCTGCGGGATCCACTTTGAGATAAAAACGTTGGGCGGCACGTCGAAGTTGTCGTCCTCGAATTTCCACAGCACCCTGTACGGCAGGTCGGCGAAGGCGTTGGTAAATATCTGCAGCATTCCCTTCGGTAATAATTTGCTCTTCACATTAGTTCCCAGACTCATGTAAACGAAGCCATTCGTCGCGCCGTCCAAGAAATTTGTCAGATCCTACGGATCAAACGCGGCAGCACCTAACGTGGCTATTTTTGTTGTGTTTGTAGTTGACGAAATACGCAAGAACGAAAAACTAATTATAGCGAAACCTTTTCGTGTGACTGCACATACTTGTGATAACGGCGGCGGTGCTTTTGCGATGTGCAGGCCGCTGAAGTGAACGATATTCGGAATCTCAGGTCTCGCGTACGCCAGCAGTGGCTCTTGATCGATCAAGATAAGACTCATATTTTTCGCAACGTCAACGATGTGCGGTATATCCTTGCCGAAATATTTTTCGGCGATCTCTTGTTGCTTGTTCACGAAGTTGTTGAACCACGTGTATATGTGCCACCAGGTCTTGACGAAATTCGTCACTCGTCTCCAAAACGGCAGATGCAACCCTGTGAAGCTCTCGATCTCCCAGTTGGAGGGATGCGACGGCATCACTGGACTGCCGAGGTTGAAGCGATGGCAGTTTTGCAGGTCCATGGACATGATACCTGCGATTAGAAGATTCAAGCGTTTTCACGGCGATGTAACGGGTAACGCGATGATACTTTTAACGTTCACCGCAATCTCCGGTGTCTGCACTGAGATCGATCCGTCTTACCTATTAAAGGGGCGTTGAATCGGTGCGCCAATATGTAGATCGCGGGAGTCATGATCATCTCCGCTATTACCGCGTCGAATTGTGCGATAGTCCCATTCGCGTAATACTTGACGAGGTCGGGATGACTGAGAACGTCCTCCGCGATATCGTGACCCAATCTCAGTAATCTCGTCTTCAGTCCGCCAAGCTGCGTGAGGTTCCAACGGGTCTGACTAAGATCAGTGTCGTCGATCTTCTCGTATTCGAAGCCGAAATCTATCTCCGTGTAGTTAGTCAGTGTAGGATCATTTAGGATGTTGGGAGTCAATACTACTATCTCGTGTCCCCGTTTATGCAAAGCGAGACACAGTGCCCGAAATACTATCTGATGACTATAGGATGGGGCTGGGGTGATGATCAATAGCCTCTTGCTGTGCGCCAGGTTGCTCATAGTCAGGAGCCCCAAGGCTACGATGATCGGCGCGATACCGGTGATTAGGCTCATTCTGAAGAAGAAGATCGTCGTACGAATTTAACTCTTCGCTGCCTGTTTTTAAGGGGATGCTAGAGTCGATGATGTCCAAAAATGTCTATAATGTATAAAGTTTTGAAAAAAAGATTTGGTAATATTCAATCTACCTGAATGATAGTCACTAAATGCTTTGGTAAAGCAGTTTTTCAACTTAATATATAAGAGAATATAACCAAATAATTTCATAACTATATTTGTTATGAGTTAAAAAGCATATAATAGTTACTAATAACTACTACGTAAGTAAACCAAAAGGAATTTAATTGTTACAGTCCAGGCAGTTTTTTGGACTTTTGCAGTCTTTCAACTTTTTTGTATAAGGTAAAGGTCCTAGTGATTCAACGATGACCCAATGATCGAAATATTAATAATATATTTGTATCTAATGTTTCCAAAAAAGAAGAGAAGAAACCTTTGAAATTTTGTTAAGAGATATTTCTTTATACTAATATGGAATATTATTTAAAAAATATTCAATCATTAAATCTGTATTATTTAGTAAAACTTAGGTCATTTTCAATTAAATTACTAGCACAACCGACATTATCTAATATCTTATTAAAATTATAATGGATATTTATTATATTGATTATATTATCTTTCCCTTCCTTTCTATTATTTTTCGCTAGCAAATCAAAATTCTTTTATAAATCTTACTTTTTTTAGTAATTCTATTAATTATTTATGAATAAAAATATGGAACTGATCGTTCTTTTCTATTCGTTCAATTATTGGAACATTTGCCAGACGTCAAAAGGTAGATTAGTAAAAAGATATGAGACACCTGCCGCATTACTATAATGAATTTTCGGATTATAAGGTTTAATATTTTACCGCAAAACTTTTCCAAACATACCATTTAAAGGATAAATCCATACATGTCAAACTGCTTAAACCAGCTCGATATATTAATCGCGTGGTCAGAGAAATCAATTTTGCGATAGGTACGTGTGATATGAAATGATACATTTTACATATAATTCTCGCAAATAATACATATTTAATCTTCATATACGAATAGCTGTGAGATATAGTAATAATTAATAAGTATTGATTTTATAATTACGGACTGTCCTCGGTTCGAAAGTTACTTTCTCCCTGTGAAATATATGGATTCTGTTGTTTATACTTCATGAAGTTGAATATAATTTAGTTGAATATTATCCAACTAGATTACGTGTACTTACATATTGATATGTAGTAAATAAGCGGATTGTAATGAGTATTCTCCGGGTAATGGTGTTGATCGACTCGAAAAATCGCGAGATAAAAAATAAATCTATGAAAATTTACGAGTCAATCTTATCGTATCATAATCGTTGAAATTTAATAATAACAATCGTCTACGAAGTTCCAACCGAACAGACGCTCTTAGACTGAATCTCGCAAGACGAGACAAACCAGTTTTGTAGGCTGTATTAAGGTGGGAGTTTTACAAATATATATACGTATTAATTTATGATCTTGTCGAGCGGGATCGAGCATCGGCCGGTGCGATCGGTATATCGAATCTTGCAGAGTAAAAATATATCAATCAGGGAAACTCATGACATAAAAACTGACAAACGGGAAAAATGTGAATCTATTGAACGCGGAAACTTCTTACAAATTAGAATTTTTAAGATTCAGGACTACACGCTTCGGCTTATTCGCTATGGCGTAAAACACATTACGTAATTATATCATACTCGTACATATCAACTCGCATAGATTTCCGATGACAAATGTTAATTATAAAATATTATCGTATAAAGATAGATGGATTCTCTAAATATTTTATTGTAAAGTCACTTACAAAATAGCAAATTGTAAACAGAATTCAATCTTACAATTAGTACCTGGGTAGAAATTAATCGAGACGAGCTCTAAATATGTAGATTAGGATGTCAAAATAGTCATGCCTGCATAGGGCTTAGATATGGTCAAGATAAGCAAATTTGAATAGAATTTCGTGAATAGGTCATGAATTAATGTTCACATGGACGCCCCAAAATAGATATGCCTTTGTAGGTCTCATATACAGAGTGTCCCAGAACAAAGATAAAAGATTTTTTGTTTAGTTTCATTAATATCTCGATAATTATTGCGAATATCACAAAACAGTATAAGATTTTTATGTTCACCTTACTCCGTACTATGCCTTCATGAAGGCTTCAAAAGTTGTTCTGGAACACCCTGTATAGTCAAAATAAACTCTGAATGGAATTTCACGATTAGACTATGAATTGATATTAACGTGAAAACTCCAAAAGAGCTAATAAGGCTTGATCAAGAACAATTAGACAATTCTTGAAATAGTTTCAGTGAAGTAACAATTATTAATTAATAGTTCATTAGATTGATAATTATAAGGTAAGTATTTTGATAAGTTTTACTAAAAGCGTTATAATTCTGTGCAAGACCTAAATGGACCTGTCTTTATATAACCTTGATAGAAGTAAAAAAAACTGTCTAGGCCCTTTCTAATCCTCGTTTTAAATTTCTACTGTCCATGTACGAGCAGTATCTATCTTGTTTGGAAAGCCGATGAATGTGCGGCGTTTATGGAGAAAATTGGTTTAAACGAGAACTGGTTTATCTTCGCTAGAAATGTCGCGTTTTGTCCATGAACTTTATAAGCAAAATCGCATAACAAAGTAGTGATACACAATTTACTAAATATAATTTTAAGCAAATTTTGATCGTAAAACCGATGGTCGTTGTAACGAGAAATGTCGCAACATTTAAATATCAAGGTCGTCGCCTGACGACCTTGTGTCGAGTCGTGATTATGGACCAAGCGGTAGTCGCGTTTTTCTATTTTTACGTTGTCACAAGATCAACGAATGTTCGGGACGCCGCGTCGTCTATAGGATGTCCAGTAGAGAATCCGCCGTGTACAGGTAAATTAGATCAAAGTGAACAAAAAATTCCTTAATCATTTTACGAACAACCACACAAAATTCTAAGTTATTAATAAAAACAGATTAGCGAATAATCACGCGTCATATGGTAGATAAATTGTGATAGCAACGTCTATATGCTTGTATATTAGATCAAACTGAACAAAAAATATTTTAGCATTTTCCAAATGATCATATTCATGTTTAGTTATTAATTAAAGAGATGGCGTACGCCAATTAAAGAGTTGTACGCCAATTTTTTTCTTAATTAATAACTAAACATCTACGTAGTTATTTGGAAAAAGAACCTTTTTATTTAGTTTGACCTAACATATAAGCATACAGCGGTAGACGTCGTCATCACAGCTCATGTACTGTATGACACGTAATTCTTCACGAGTCTTCTTTAATTAATAACTTGGAATTTTATGTGGTTGTTGCACTCGGGAGTGCCATCCGATCATATTAATCGGCATTTATTTCGGACCAAACTAGTGGAAACGCATTCACGACAATCGTTTCCAATACACCGTGATCTCAGGTGCTCGACTCCCGTATTACACTTTTCATACTTATACCGACTATCCGGTAACGCACAAAAGAGCCGCGGTGTACAGGTAGTCAAAACAAAAAATTCCTCTTGAAAAATTCCAAAATGATTTTGCGAACAACCACGTAAAATTCCAAGTTATTAATTAAAGAAGACTCGTGAATTCCTCCTGAGTGCCATCCGATCGTATTAATCGGCATTTATTTCGGATCAAACTAGTGGAAACGCGTAACATAGAAAAGCGCTTGGTTCATAATCACGACTCGACACAAGGTCGTCAGACGACGACCTTGATATTTAGATGTCGCGACGTTTCTCGTTACAACGACCATCGGTTTTACGATCAAAATTTGTTTAAAATTATATTTAAGCAAATTTAAGTAAATCGTGTATTACTACTTTGTTATGCGATTTTGCTTATAAAATTCATGGACAAAACGCGACATTTCTAGCGAAGATAAACCAGTTCTCGTTTAAACCAGTTTTCTCCATACCTCGGGATGCATCGCGAGTGCAGCGATGTACAGAGCAATAGCAGGATGCTTGCTGCAGGAAACCGCGACCGATGTCTGCACGCATGGTTACTATGGCGGAAGAAGCGATGCCGGAAGTCTCAGGCCAAACTATTTCAGCTCGGCAAACAATTCTGGATATTAGCGGAATCGTTCGGATATGTGTGTGTATGTGTGTATATGTATATGTACGATGCGCAAACTCGTAAGTTCCGAATACATGGACATGTGTGTTGCGCTGGGGATTGAAATTATGCAGATTAAGCACGTTCACACCGTGTCCGAGAGCCCAAGCGAACGTTAACGCCGACTGTACGTATAGGTCAATAGAGGAAACCGTTTATCGTTCCGTACGATCGTCGGCGAGAATGCAATTAGTTAATCAAAAACTTATATGCAGCCTTGCGGGAAAGACCCGCGATAAATTATGATCAATGTCCCCGATAGTTGCATAGAACGATTGATTAAGCATTATTGCATTATACACTTACTTCTTTAGAAATCTTTTCATAGTTTAACAGTACAGTAATCAAACCACAATCGATATATATTTGCACTTAGAAGAAGATTGACTATGTCCAAGATGAGATAATTGAAATCAATATGTATGAAAACGATTTCCAATATCATGTTTTTAATTCTGGCAACTGAATGTTTTTCAACAAAAAACAAAAAGACGATAAAAAAGACTTGTAAAATATTATAAAAGAATTACGAGATCATTCACCATATATTTTTAAAGAAATTGATATGTAAAGTACACAATTTATTATAACGGTTGAAGTATATAATCGCTAACCTATAATGATTCTGTAATGTTTTATGCAATATACTTTCTTGTTCCTTGTTAGTGTTATAAGTTGTTAGTTGTTAGTTCTTAGTAGTTTTACAAGTATTTTCTTAAAGATAAAATGGTTAAATAATTTTAGAGATCTATAATTAATATGTAAAAATGCGAAAAATACAATAAGATATGAAAAAATCTAACACCATGATTATTTTTCTAGCATTAGTGTGATGATTAGATTAGATGTTTACTGACACGTATGATATGTTTATAAACATATGTCTAACACGAGTAATCTTAGTCAAAAGTTAATAGATCAAAGAGCGCAAAAACAGTTATTTTTCATAGGTTTTTAAACATTAAATGTAAATTTGATTGATATTCATGTGCTGTAGTGCCAAAACTGTATGTCACAAAGCATATTTATAAATATTTAATACAGATTTGTAGAGCTTCGTCGTGTTGTATTAACTACTACTTAATTTTCTAGCATTGCGGCAAAACACAACTACCTTCAATATATAACAAAGACGTAACGTAAAATTATTATTGTTTTGGTCTTTAAATATCTAAACTTTCAACGTAAAGTATAAAAGTTGAGAATTTAAATATTCGTATTTAGAGATTTTAAAACAATAACAAAGATGTCCAGAGAGAGAGAGAGAGAGAGAGAGAGAGAGAGAGAGAGAGAGAGAGAG